TATATATATATATATATATATATATAAATATAACGTGTAAAAAGTAACCCATAGTACATCCATTCTCTCATATCTTTTGCTCATATATGTACATTTCAAAGCAGAAAATACTAAAGAAAAAGCTTTTTATATATGTAACATGGCCTAGCTAATCAACCTTTAGTTCTAATAATGGTGATAGTGCCTCTGCCTTGAGTATGAATCCTGGTGAGTGCAACAACAGCTTTCCCAGAAAGGCCTGGGCCATGGGGGGACACGCATGGCCGACATGCAAAGTCCCCCACCGGATGCCTCACAGGCCTTGTCGGCGGCATCAGTATTCGCTCGTTTATGTCGTTTAACGTCACATCGCCTTCCCTTCCTCCCGGCTTCACCACTGCGAACGGGTACACCACCCTCGTTATCACCGCCGGCCTCTTCTTCCGGCTCTTTTCGCTCCCTGTAGTACGTACGTACTTGCATTACTATTATTACAAATTGTCCATAAGAAGTAAATTACGCTAATTTTAAATAAATAAAAAAATTACACTAGTACTACATTATGGCATGGAAGTGCATTGTACTAGTGTTGATGACATTATTATTTGTGCGTTTATAATCATGTGAGAATGATTTATACTGAGCAATGAGCACCAATTTTGATGATCATTGGTATTGTATATATCTCTCGTGCTATGGGAACGTGACATTCTGAGGAGCAGTAATATACTACTTCTACTATGATTGACAAAAAACGCCAATGATTTTGCAGTAATAATATAATAATGACGTAATGGCTTGATTTTTTTTTTTTTCAAAAAATGTAAATGGAGGACTAGTCAGCTTTTTTTACAACACAAAGTCACAAACATCACGATCAACTTGTTGTTGTTGTTGTTGTTTTTGTTTGTCACATATAATTTACAACTAATGGGTAGTACTGTAGCTCTCTAAAATCTAATGAATATGAGAGAGAGAGAGAGAGAGAGATACCAGGAAGGTCTAGGGAAAATAGAGCTTGCTTGTCAGAAATAATGGACTTGGTATCGGCTGAGTCTTTGCATGAAGAAGAAGAAGGCGAGGAATCAATAATTTCAGAGAAGGATTTTTCTTCTTCCGGTGTTTTCATTTCGGTCATGACCATGTTTGCCTCTTCTCCCAGCACGCTGCATACTGACGTCGAAATTGGCCCACCTAAATTAATGTCAAAAAAGGAAGCCCAAGATATATTAGGATCTTACATTTTCTATTTCAAATTCTGTTAATGGTAAAAAAAAACAAGAGTTGTATATATATATATATATACATACATCTATGTCAAAAGTATATATAGTATATACATTTGAATCAAACTCGGTACGTTTGTTACTATGCAAAACAAATATATCATGTGGTCACCTGAGAGTTCATTAAAAGTAGTCATGTGACTCGTGAAACTGAAATCCTCCGACAATTCCCAGTTGGACGTGTTCCAGAGACCCTGTAGTACGACACTACAACATTGAGTTTCTGTGCTCATGTACAACATTAGAGAATTATTACACCAAAAACCCAGTTCATCGATCGGAAACAATATATATATATATATATAGTAATATTTGAGAGAAATAATTAGCTCATAAAAATTACCCGAGGAAGAAAATTGGAGTCTCTCATATTCATGATCTCTTCATCGCTAAACAGCAACAAACGTCTTCTCTTGGACCGCTCACTGAATTCGACCAAAGCATCTTCCAAGTAGCCCGTCGAGAAATCGTCTTCTTGTTCCGAGCCTAAGGGAGACAAAAACGGTGTAGAATAATTCCCTTCCATGACTGTAACATAAGTTTGAAAAAACAATCATATATATGGCCATATATATATGCGCAATGATATATATCGGGTTGTGCAACAAAGAAAGCAAAGGACAAACACAGTGAAAAAAGAAAGCAAGAAAGAAAGAAAAAGAGGATATATTAGACCTAAAGACATGATGTCCTTATTGAGAACTCCAAGGCTGTGGAAATTATGATCCCAACCTAGGGAAGAGTTATGGAGGCTATTGTTGTCAATAGTGTATGACGGCATGGGAAGATGAAGTTCACCCATATCTTTGTTGCTACTACAAGCAAATGTCTCAAAATGGACCAAAAAATTCTGATGGGAAATATTTGGTTCTCTATACTTCTACTATATAAGTGCAACAAGTGATGGAAAAAAAAAAAAAAAAGGGGAAAAAGATGGAGAAATTTGATCATGATTTTAGAAGCACTACTCAGTCAACGGCAAGATAGAGAAGCAAAAGTGGGTGTTTCTTGGGATACGTGAAATGGGGTCACTCTTTTTCTTTTTAGTTTTTTTTTTTTTTTTTTTTTTTTTTTTTTTTTTTTTTTTTTTTAAGTTGGTGTGGGCACTGTGGGGTGTGTGTATATACGGGGGACTAAATAATTGCAAAGGTTATCATATTATGCTGTTGCATGTAAAAAAAGCAGTAAAGGGGGAATTGTAAGGCAAAGAAAAACATATTGCCTCACTAGCTAGCCAACACATACAATTCAAATTTCAGCTTTTCCCCTTTTTTTTTTTTGTTTTTTTTTGTTTTTGTTTTTCTACTGCTTATGATATATTGTCACCAACCGTTTCTCTCTTTTACACAACTTTATTTGTCTAATGCACATTTCTTGGTACTGTGGGGTCATATCGGATATCTTTGCAAAAATTTCATGTTGGGCACATTCAGCTAATGGGGGCCCACTATTTGGCATGCTGGCTGGCTGGCTAGCTGGTGGGGTCCAGTTCAAAAGGTTTGAAGAATAAGAAGGAGAAGAAAACTTTTTTTGGTGGGTGGTAATGGGACCCAGTGGAGGGGTCATCTTTTTCTATGATGGGAGTTTGAATGGTCCAAGTTTTGTCCTCGGTGTGAGTCAGCTGCATCGTATTTCGAGCGGATCATGTCGCCTGATGTGTAATCGGACGGTAGAGAATGTTTGTTGTTTTGCATTTGTGGTGCTTCGTGCCCCACATTTCTTGATTATCTGATCCAACGGTGGGGATCAATGCAAGTTGGGCCGGGCCTAGCATAGAAGTTTTCAAAAGTCTTGTTCGGAAGTCCAATCAAGATCCAATTGAGTGGGGGAGGCCCATAGACAGCTGGCTTCATTATGTCATTTTTACTTACGGAGATAATCAAACCTGACAAAGTTTGGTGGATAATTAGCACTAACTTGTTTGACAGAATTTGAATTCAATTTAATGGGACCCCATATTCTCACTGTTATTATTACTATTTTTTGAGCAACATGTGTAAGAAAATTATATAATTATATATGTATTATAACTTGGCTGTTGTGTACTATAAATCTACAATAATTAGGAACACCTCGTCAATCAGAGGGTCACCTTCAAAATGACAAACTAGTACAGGAATAATGGAACTGAATTGAATGATAAACTGAAGCAGTGTTACGGTGGGGAAGGCTATTTATCCTACTGAGAAGAATAATTGTTTTTAATTATTGAATTAATTTTTTAACGATTAAATATGTGCATAGCTAATTAAAAATTTATTTTAGAGGACACAAAATTGCTCCTATTAGAGATTAAATTATTCAAAAATTAATCTAATAGTTAAAATACAATTCTTATCAGTTGAACAAAATAACATTCTTCATATCATAAATGCACCTTTGTTTGTAAGTTTTTTTTTTCTTTAAATAAATTCTACTTCTGTAGTTTTAGAAGATTAATCTCATCATTAGGATTCAGACAAAGTGCTAATGATTCAGACAAAGTGCTATTCAATAAATAAATAGCGAGTATGAGCAACAGTGAAAGCACCAAAATTGTATTCGATGTATTAACTTTTTCATTTGTTTAAAAAAAAAAAAGAAAAAAAAAAAAGAAGAAAATGGCAAACCAATACGAAGGGTGTGCTGCCCCAAGACCGACAACGAAAAGTCGCTCATTATTTGTACATATTTGTTATTCTTCGTAAAAGGTTTCTATACGAGTTACCCCAAGTTTAAGATATGGATCTGGTAATTTTTGTAATTATTATTATTGTTATTCAACTTGACTCGTGGAAAATCATAGAAGATTTTTATGGATTTGTCTTAGATTCGAACCGGACAATGTCTGGGATCCAGATATATTGTCTAAATTATATCGTTTTAATTAATGTATAACTAATTAAATCATACCACATCATAATAAATATAAAAAATTTAATTAAAAATTAATTTAAATTTTTTAATATGACATGACATGGTTGATTAGACACCAATTAAAACATTAAAATTAGACAGTGAACTTAAGTCCCAATATCTGTACCTTTATTTTGTGCGTGTATATATAACATACATGAGCTTTCTTAGTATGACTAAAAAAAATGAACTATTAGTAGTTTTATACTTTTAGCAGTTAGATTTATATTAAATGTTATCAATCCTGTATATATTTTCACTCTAATGTAATTTTGATTGAATCTAATAGTTAAAAATTAAGGGCGAGTTTAGAACTCGTTTCAAAATGATTTTGTTTTCTATATGAAAATAAAAACATTTTCAATCTCAGACAGAAATCATTTTTGAAAATACGTTTGGTAATTTTATCAAGAGATTATTTTCACTGTAAAAAAACCCATTAATGTCTCTCTTTCTCTCTCTCCGCTCGAGAGAAGAGAAAATGAAAACAAAAAATTAAAAACGATTAAAAGTCGTTTTTTATTTCTCTTATTTTATACTAAACTAAAAAATTATTTTTATTTTTATTTTTATTTTTTATCTTTATTACGCCAAACACCATTTTAAAAACGTTTTTATTTTTTTTCTTAAAAAACATAAAAAAATAAAAAAAAAATAAATTCTAAACACGGCTTAAAAGTTCCACCGGAAAAAGTTCCCATACATAAACCCTTTGATATGATCTATAATGGGGTCAACCTACGCAAGACTAGCTGAAGATGACCTCACTACAGCCATCTCATAGACGGCACAAAGCATCCACAATCTATTGTTAACAGAACCTTCCAACAAAAGCAACAATATAATTAACATATGTATGCCACACCTAATTATAATTGGAATTCCTGGATAATTGAAAATCAGAACTGGGCTTATGTGGCATGCCCATTTGTAATTGGGCCTATATTAATTGGCCCAACATGCTAATAACGAGCCCAGAATCACTACCACCAATCACCATCGACCTATTAGCGGCAAATGTTATTCGCCTCATAGAGAAATTTACCGGATCCAAAGGAGGCCGTTACGTTCGCTAGTTTCTACTTTTTATCAAAACCTCGAATCTCCAGTTTTACCAACGAACATGCAAAAGAATTGTGAGCAAAAAAATAAATAAATAAAAAAACAGACATTGCAAAAGAAAAATACATACAATAAAGGCTTTGTATTGTCCCAAAGTCTTTAAAATGAATCTGGAAGTGGATTACGATCCGAACAATCCACTTCCCGACCTCAGTCCAGCTCCGGAGTTGGGAAAACAAGGCGTAGAAAGGTTCTTGAATGCGGAGGCCTCGTCCATGGCCGCTTCGGGTTACCTGGACGACAGATTCGCGCCGGTATGGCGAGAAAGGGCCGTCATTGTCATCTTCAATGTAAGTCCTAGAATCACCTCTTCAAGAGCTTTATGATTTCAATCTGTTTTTGTAATGATCTTTTTACATGCCTTCATTTCGTTTCTTTTACTAGCTTTTCTTGTGAGAAATCTGCTGGAACCTGTGGAAAGAGAATTTTCAATGCTTCATTTGCTATGTTCGTTGATTTTGTTTAGAATTTAGAAAGATTGAAAAATGAAAAGTATTTTTGTTGATAAAAATAATCAAAGCATAGCATAGCAGCTAAAGGCGACCTAGGGACCGATTCTTGTTGTTCAAGTAAGGCTGAAATTATGCCTTGAATCTACCTGTTGAACATGGTTTGAGTTGATGTTACATTGGACTTCGGGAATGCTAGTTGACGAAAACTTAGGCCATTTTCATTTTCGTTCCACCTAATGACCCGGTAGATTGTCAAGTAACTGTTGCGTCGAGACGGGAGGACGCTACTGATTTTATGTTGTTTTTCTTTAGGAGCAAAACGCATTACTCTTGAATCCCATGTTTTCTCAGATCTTTGTTATAGGTAAGTTTTTTGTACTTATTTGTTGGAAAAAAGAACTCTCTTTTCTAACAATTGTTAAATACTTGTTCATTTGCATTTAAAAACCTTTTTCTTTTTTCTTTTGCTTGATCTTGTAACATTCTAGCTGCAAAGGAGAAATCAAAATTACAAAAATTAACTAAAACCAGTCGATTGATTTCTTGATTTCTCGGCAAAAGCCTATTCTTGCTAAATATAATATCTTTCATAAATTTTTTAATCTCTAGCAGGTCTCAAGGCAGGAACACTTTGAGCCTTTCATACCCTATCTTGCCATGAATTACTTTGATCGCTACATTTCACGGGAAAAGAAAATACCGGTATTAAACATCGTTTGAAACCTCTTCTTTCTTGATGTTAATACCATCTTTAATTAGTCTTCTTGTGAATGTTACCTGTCTTCTTAGAAAGTGTTGAAATATGCACAACATGACTTGGATCTTCTCTCTATATGCTGCCTTACACTTGCTTGTAAGATGAGGAACAAATATTTCTCAACCCCCAGATTTCTGGTACGTAATCATGTTCCTGTTTCCATATGTTAAAAAATAGTCAGATTCACTTTTTACCTACTCATGATGTCCGATGATTAATTTGTTTAAACAGGCACAAAATCCAGAGCTCAGAGCTGTTATGCCATGGGAATTCCTGACCATGGAGCTTCACATTGTCAAAGGACTTGATTGGCGTATGTGTTCTGTGACAGCCTTATGCTTTGTGCAATTCTTCGCACCCTACTTTGAGTCGACCTATGGCTTCAGGCGCAGAACGATCAACGAAATCATTATACAATCACAGAATGGTAAAATTTCTCAAAAAAAATTTGATTTTTTTATGTTGTTTTTCTGTAATACTCTTTACTGTAGAAACACTTTGTAGCTTCTGTGAAAATAAATAAATAAATGAAGTAGGGCGAAGGATCATATGACTCATTTTTGCACTTTTTAATGCAGACTACTTGATGTCGAGATTCAGGCCTTCAGTTATTGCAGCATCAGCGCTTCTTGCAGCTTCCTCATTTCTGTATGCCGAGCAGTTTGAGAGCTTTTTAGAGAAAATAGCTTCCCAAATAATATTCAGAAAGGTAAACCTAACCAAAACGGGTCTTTTATTTTATTCAAAGGACTCTTAACTGATTACATTTCTTTCTTTATGAGAACTTTTTTCATTCATTTCTGTGGTTCACTTTTCAGGAGGAGGTGTTGAAATGCATGGAGAATTTGATTGATATGTGTAAGGATTTGAGAATTCAGATTGAAAGTGCGGTACCAGAGAATGAGTACCTGCCAAAAAGGAAGGTACGGGCAGGAGAAACATCTGAACAAGCCGCCGAAAGATCTAAAACTGCCGCTGCTGAAATAACCCATAGAGCGACATCTGAAAAATCGAATCAAAACGCTGCTTTAACATCTGAGCAAGCTGCTGATAGCAAATCGAAACAAGTGGCCGTTGAATCATGTAAACAAGTAGCTGCTCAAAAGCCAGAACAATCCACTGAAGAACGCAAACAAATGGCAATTGAAAGATCAAAAGTAGTAACCACTGAAACGTCTGAGTGGCTGACTGTTACATCAACTGAGCAAGTCGCTGGCAAAAAATTTGCGGAATACACGGAAGAGCCTAAACAAGAAGCTGCAGAAAAATTGGAAGAAGTGGCAACCGAATCATTTGAACAATTGATTATTGTACCAAGTGAAAAAGCGGTTGCTCAAAAATCTGAAGAATCCAGTGAGGAGCCTGAAAATGTAGCTATTGAACGATCAGAAGAAGTGGCTGCTAAAAAATCTGAAGAATCCATCGACGAGCCTAAAGAAACTGCTATTGAGAGCTTGAAAGAAAAGGCTGTCGAATTATCTGCAAAACAGACTGATGTACCGAATGAACAAGTGGCTGCCAGAAAAACTGTAGAATCCGCTGCTCAGGAATCTACGCATGCGGCTAGCAAGAGTTCAAAAGAAATGGATACTGAATCGTCAGAGTGTTCTAGTGTTGTAGGCGCACCGTCAAGTGCCAGGACAAGCTCACAGAGATCAAGTAACTGTAAGGAGAAAGTGGTGGAGATGACGGAGATGTCGAAGATGGTAGAGGATAGTGAAAATATGGCATTTGACTTTGCGCTTAGATGGAGACTTGGAGAGGAAAATGCGGAAGATTTTGTTATCTTTACGGCTATGGAGGACTTAGATGGGGCTCTTCGAGTGCCATGTGCGCCCGTGAGGGTCAATCAAGGTCCCAAGAGAAATCTTCGAAACTTATGCAACTTCTGCTGCTGCTGCAAGGAAAAGTGAACCACAAGTTGGTTAGAACACTCTAGCTTTCTATTTTTTTCCCCTATTAAGAAAATATTTTGGTTTCTGACCAAATTGTAGGAATGAATCTACTTGTAGATAGATTGTCTTGACTTGTTTTTAGCAAATTTTGCAAAATATAGGCCGCATTTGGAAGAAAACCAAAAAAAAACCAAAAAAAAAAAACACCTAAACTATTGGATAAATCTTCCATATTCTTAAACAGAAGTTAATTAGGCCATTCATGACTCACTTGTACTAAACAGGAAGAACAACCAGATCTCGGCAGTCTTACACCAGAGAAATTCAAGATAACGGAGCTTCACATACTCAAAGAACTAGATTGGTGTGCTCGTGCCAAGCTTCGAGCGTAAGTTGTGCTTAACAGATGACACTAATGGCAGAACTATCAATCAACAATATACCATAATCAGCTTGCAAGACAGTAATATCTCCTAACAAACATTGCCATATCATTTTTTCAAATGCAAATATTTTGCAACCCCAATATTTTTGCTCAGAATTCATGCACTAATGACTTATGCTTTAGCTTTCAGCACAGGCACTGCAACGACGATACTCGAGCCTTCAGTCATCACGACATCAGTTGTTCGTGCAGCTTCCAAATTCCTGTATCCCCAGCAACGATGAATTCTCTTTCATCAAACTTATTTGAAAGGAATCTTTGAAGAGCAAGATAGAAATCTAAGCAAGCCTCTGGTGACAGATTGTTTTCAATGTTCTCTGTTGCTTCACTCTTTAAATTCGTGATTTCTTTAAACCAAAACTCATATATCAGCTAGTAATTATTGTGAAGTTTGAACTCAATACCTGATCATAAAGGGATTGGAAGAGAGACATAATGAAAGGAGACCACACTGAGACTCAAAGGATATATGTCAAGACGATTACTCAACGCAAAATAGTGAAGAAAGAAGAGCAAAAGATTGCTAAGGTTTCTTTTTTTTTTTTAAAAAAAAAAAAAAAAAAAAAAAAAAAAAAAAAAAAAATGCTATTCAATTCTCCAAATAATCATAACATATGTGTTATAGGATGCAAATCCTAAAGAAAATCTAATTGGAAAGCAAATCTAAATTACAATTCAATTCTCTTCTTTAACTGGCCCATGCATATTGGGCATTTGCATTTGAGAGAACTAGATAAATAGCCCTTTGAACGGACAACTTATTGATGTTTGACACATAAATATCGGATCCTTGATTTCTACCCTTAGATTAGAACCAGACAAAGGTCAACATATATGGTTTACTGAAATTATCCCCCCAGTAAAACATATAATCTACAAGATTATCACCAGTAATCTATCAGATGTCATCAGAAAGCAGTCTTCGATCACCGGCGCTGGTCAACGAGACGATTTTTGGTGGATTATTTTTCATAATCTGCCAGATTACTTTTTATGTTCAACTAGAAAGTGGCAGGCCGTCTCTAGTTATTAATCTATCAGATTATTTTTATTGTCAACTAAAAAGTGATGAATCTTGTACATTATTTTTTATATTCTATCAGATTATTATCTCTTATTTCAACTAAAAAGTGGTCAATCGTCTCCAGTGACCAAAGAAGAATCTGATAGATTATGTTTCATAATCTACTAGATTATTTTTTATTTTCAATTAAAAAATATTCTACCGTCTCCGGTCATCATAGAGTAATCTGATAGATTATTTTTCATAATCTGATAATGACCACTTTTGAAAACTTCTATGCCATGCTTTTTTGAAGTGCATTCAACGAGTTTTTTTTTTATTTTTTTTATTTTTTATTTAATTAGGGCAATCTTGGTCGTTCCGCTACGCGGGATTTCTCAAAACTGCAGAGATTTTTCTGAGGATTATTTTTTGTCCATCTTGGTGTCGCTTTTACATTTGAAGTAGGCGTTTGGATAGTGTCTTTTTCTATTGAGTTTGCTTGGTTTCATGGTTGGAGATTTATTTGGTTGGAATGCAAATCTAGCTATACATCGTCCCTTAGATAGGTGACATGTTTCTAAGGTTCTTTGGTGAATTCACAACAGTCTTTCTTTGCTTCATTTGATGAAATAAGCTAGGTACTCAAGTTATTTCTTACGAAGATTCAAAATGATGAAATATTATAGCTATGGCTTTTCTGATCACATTGATCAATAGAGATTTGGTCTCGTCCTTTTTATTGACTTAGATCAGGATAACTCGTTCTGATCATGATGTTGCTGACAAGCCAGCGTTGCACGGACTTCTATCGACAACTTATCATGGTGGTTCAAGAGTCTTGATTTTTGTTCAACTGCTATCAATAACTTGGTTGGTCTTCTGTGTTACGGATTTTGTAAACAATCACTCTTTTAAGTAGATATGTACTAGTTTTTCCCTTTAGTCTGTTTTGGCTAAAAGCTTTTTTAGTAAGCCTACATGTCGCTTTCTTTCAAGGTGTGAATCTTGGATCTATCCTCTAAGAATTGCTTATGGTTATCATTTTCTATTGTTTTCCGATACTTTGGGTATTCTCTGTCCTTTTTTCTTTTTTCATTTTTGCTAATGAAAAAAAAGCGGCTATAAGTGTTCTTACGCTCCCACTCAACACCTATAGAAAGAATCAAAAGGGTTTAAATCTATTCTTCATTCGTTCACAACCTAGATTTTATCAACCCACCACTCGCCCCTTATACCCACCTAACTCCTTTTGTGAAGAACTGGGATTTGGTTCTTTGAGGAGTGTCAGGCTAATTGAGATGTGGCTTTAGCCAATAATGCTAGTTTCTTTCTATCACCACTTTTATTTGTTTTTTTAGTAGTGCTCAATATTAGTGGTTTTTGAATACAATGAATCTTCAAAAATTGCAGCCAATAAAAAATTTCTAGGAGAATCTGATTTCTTTTCTGTTTTGATTTTTCAAAAAAGATAGACTGGAGAGAGAGAGAGAAGAGAGTAAAGTGAAGATGTATTAATGATAATCATGAGTAATTCGTTTAGATGAACACAATAACAGGCATACACACTGATCCATTAAAACTAGAAAGTGGGGCCTACATGGACCATTAATCTAAAGCATATAACATGACCCCACATGACATATGGCAACTTATTTAACAACTCTTAATCTTATTCGACACTTCCTCTTTCCCAAGGGCGATTTCTTTCATGGAACTGTGTACCCTGCCAACAGATGATAGTAATATTAGCCAAGAATTCTGATTACAAATTACAAATCACAAATAAAAAATGGATACTCAAATAAGCACTAGGGAGCCAGAAAAGTAGCCAAAATAATGTACTTAGAAAGTAATTGGTGGGGAAGTTGATTTTGCCCCATAATCTCCCTTAAGTGGAAGACTTTGCACGATTAGACTTTATCATTGAAAGCGGCTTTTTATATTCGCATTAAAAAAAAAAACATTAATATAAGCGGGAGAAACGACACATTACAAAATATGTCGGTCAAAGATTGTGCAGTTTCGTATGATTAGTACGTGGAAATTGAAAATTTTCAAGCACGAAGACGAATAAGGTTTGTCCGACGTCTTTTCCACTAATTTTAGTGTCCTTAATTTTAACATTTAAAAAATACGTAGCATCACTAGTGTTTAATACCACAAACATTATTTCTTTTTCCTTTTTTTCCCCTCCTATTCAAACACTTTGCTTTTTTTATTTTGGTTAACGAATAAGATGTTCAAATTATATAGAGATTAAATGTTTATTTAGTTATCACCAGTTAGTCTAAGTGTATAACCTCTATTCATATATATAGTGATAGATATAATAACTAGGAGTGGCGTTATTCAAATTTACTACCACTAGTACTTGATTAGTTGCAATGACCTTTCTTTATTATCTATATTTGTACATTCCTTTATGAGCATACCAAACTAAGTTTAATTTGCAACACCCAAATTTTAATCACAATTCTTCCAAAATCTAGTATTACTAAACTAGCTCATTGTCTGAGCTATAAAGCTTTAAGTGGATAAAACACACACACACACATATATATATATATGGAATAGTAAGAATTGGACCAAAATTATGCTACAGAAGCATCTTAAGGTCACAACATGAAGAGAAACTTACTTCCACACTTCTTTCCAGCCTGTCGGTTCCTAATGTTGCATCTCTTGGGGATTGTAATGGCAATGGCAACCTTGATCCCAACCTGCTTTGCCAAAGGAGAGAGCAGAACAGCGCAGAGGCATCTCGGCACGGTTTTGATCAAGGCTCCAACTTTGGCACAGCAAGCAGGTGGAACCTTAGCCTTGGCATTTCCTGCTGCGCTCAGGCAAGGGCTAAGGCTCGCTGCAGCCGACCTAATCGGGGTCTTACCGCACTCTCCAGCTGCGTCGACTTCCCAAAGAAAAGCATTTGAAACAAGCAAAAATGCACACCCAAGGCAGGCAGCGATTTTGGAGGCCATATTGGTTTATTATGTAACAAGTAACAAGCCTGTTAAGTTTGATTAACGTTTTTCTTTCTCGGTGAAGTAGTCCACGGGCGAATGAAGCGCTTTTATAGTAAATTTCTGAGTCGAAAATTTTGCAAAAGTAGGGAAAAAAACAAAGGTGTTTTTGCAGTAGTGCGGTGGTTGTGGAAACGTGGAAGGAATATATGGGCGTTTGTGGCATTGTTTTTTCAAGGCGTAATGATTTTGGTTCATTATTTGCGGCAGATTGATACTGTACATAAACGGTGACTAAGTAACCAAGAGGGTTACTCTTAGCCCCCCTTTCTTTTTTTTCCCCCCTTCTTCCAGGATGTTCTATTCTTAGATATGTGAAGTATAATTCGGCTATTCTATCTTGGTAGGTGCCGTGTGAACATTAGAAAGTAGGAATGCCAAACTAGAATTACTTTTGGCACGCTTAGAAATCCTATATATATTCTATGTTCTTTTCCCATGGCACAAGTGCACGTGTCATGTGTAGTTACAAAGAAGAGTTTACACATGATGACAAAAGTAATGTTAGTGTATTAAGAAATGGTCCATTTTTCTTTTCTTAGGTTCCTAAATGGTCTTGCCTATATATTGATGATGTCATAAAAATAGGTATTAATTAGAGAAAGATGGGACTTGGCTGATATGTAGACTGGGTTATTTTCATAGGTTTGAGTTAAAATTCAACTTTTTTGTTATAATTTTCTCTTATGATAAATGTAAATTTCATTTCAAATTTTCTAATTAAATAGTTTTTTTTCTATGAGACTTGGGTCTTGGAGATATGTATGTAAACAAAATCACCATTATTTATTGATTCCCAATCCCAAAGCTCGGTAACCTAGAAGGCTCAAAGATTTTACAAAGCTAGACTTGAGAAGTAGTTACCATCAAATAAAATGGCCGAGTAATAATATTGGAAACACTAGCTAGAATAAGGAACACCGTTTTGCAATTATCGTGGCATAAAAATACTTGTTTAGTACATAAAATTTAAGCCTGGCCAATTACTAGCTAACACTAGCCAATATAAAAAAAAATACATATGAGCAATGAATAATTGCTCACAAAAACAAAAAAAACAAAAAAAACAAAAACAAAAAAAAAACAAAAGAAAAAGAAGAAGAAGCTGAAGAAAGAAGAAGAAAACGTACACATTAGCAAATAAAAAAATTAAAAAAAAAACTTATTTGTGGTTAATTACTCAACTGGGAAAACACATTCGCTCTATTATCTCTGAATGGTTATTAACGGTATAATTAGACTCAAAAGAGCTCCATGGAATAACTTAGGACGTCCTGAAACATGGAGAAGAAAATAAAGTAAACCCGAATATTAACTGCAAGTCAGCATGATCTTGTTTGCTTTCTTAGCCATGACAATGTTCTTCCAATGAGTCGCAATGTCCCTCTTTATCTCATCTTCAGTCTTCTTAACCACATGAGTTGTTCCGTTCTTTTTTCCATTAGTCTCTTCATGACCATAGTCACCGTTTTTGGTAGGCAGTTTGTCGAGCTCTTCCAGCACCTTTGTGATGTCGATGACGAGGCGCTCGGCAAGGGTGCGAGAGAAGTCTTCCCTAATAACGACACGGAGCAGGCTCACGTGGCGGGCATCGGCAGGCATGGTATAGGCCGGGACAATCCAACCAAAGCGGCGGAGCATCTCGGAGACCTCAAACTCGTCGTGGCGGCTCCTGTCCTTGAGGCAGAAGGCCACCACCGGAACCCCAATGTCCTTGGAGAGGATGTTGAAACGCCCTGTCTTTTCCAGGCCTTGTTTCAGCACCATTGCATTATTGTGACAGTTTTCCATGACGTTACGGTAACCCTGAAGGAAACAAAGACCGGATCAAGTCGTGTTAGAATTTTACGTATTACTACCTAGTGAGTACAGATTTTTGGTCTAATCACAATAATGTATATATCTTGGGGAAAAATGGTGATTGAGTCTCACAAACATATTCTCAGTGATGATCATTAGACTTTTATGATTCATCACTTAATAAGGATGCCGTTTGATTTGAAGGACATTTCATTATAAATTGATTGATTTTTTTTTTTTTTTAATATTGTTGTATGTGTCAATAGAATTATAAAAAATTAATATTTAGCAATAATTCGACTGGTAGGCTCTTACCTCAAAACCCAATCGGATGAGTTGATAATATTGAGCAATAATTTGACTGGAACCTGTCAAAGGTAAGAACACAAACACAAGCAACTTTAGAACCACTCAAATTAATGGTAGAAAAGTATAGTGTTCAAATCAACAATAAAAAGTAGACAAATAAACTTCGTCATCATTTATTACCTTTAGAGAAATTGAGGGTGAAAGTAGGTTGGTCAGCTCCAAGGTAATTTATGTGAAAGATGAGCTCTTCAGGCAAGTCCTCCTTGCTCCTCCAGATATTCCAACCAACTCCAGCATACACAAGCCCATATTTATGCCCACTCACATTGATGCTCTTCACCAATGGAAGACGGAAATCCCATTCGAGTTCTGGATACAGGAAAGGAGCAATGAACCCGCCACTCGCCGCGTCAACATGGATCGAAGTATCCCAACTGCAACCACAACATTCATATCAATTTAGTATTTTATTGATATATTTGAGAAATTAAAAGGAAAAATATGCTACTGAAAAAAATAATTGGCACATAATTTATTTTTAACTCATGTTGCGTATTGTTTGATTCTAGTATGACCGATGTAATCTAATATTTAGAAATGTGCACTATAAAAGAGATATGTACCCAGTTAGCTTGTTCTTTTCAAGCAATAGGTCATTTAAGAGCTTGACATCTTCGAATTCTCCGTTGTAGGTAGAACCCAAAATAGCTGCGACGCAGATAGTGTTTTCGTCCACCATCTCCACAGCCTTCTCAGGGTCCATTACATAGTAGCCTTCCCTAACCTTCACTTCCTTCAGCTCAACTTCAAAGTACCTCGCAAACTTCTCCCAGCACACCTAAAAAAATATTTCGTTCAACTTCATATTAATATACAATCACATATCTCTCGTTTAAAACTCATATCTAATTTTTTCTGTTACAGTTAAAAACTCTCACGTAAAGACACACTCAACAACGGAATCATCTATCTCTGTTAGGTGTTAGGTGTGGTGCTCGATGCCAGTATTTTCTTTTTTTCTTTTTAATTATTGTATAAATATATGTGTGGGGCATATTGTGAATTGATACCTGGACATTGGCACCGGTGACGATGTTGGGCTTGTCGAAAGGTTTACCCTCAGCCTTACGCTTGTTCTGCCACTTCCTCTTGAAGGCAAGGCCTGCAAGCATTATGGCCTCGGAAGAACCCACCGTTCCTACTCCGACTGCGGCTTCAGACTCTCCAAGTGGCGCATTGAAAAGATGTGCGATCATGTTCACACATCGATTCTGTAACCAAAAAAAGAAAAAAAAAATGTTAGATTGAGCAATTAATTACTTTTTGTTTTGTTAATTAAAGAACAGTTAATTCCCCTTTGATTGGCTGATAACATTCACTCTTCTACAGTTAATGGTTATATGTGACTGTATTTTTGTTCACCGTTCACAAAAGAGAAATAAGGAAGTTGTTTGAATACAATTGATAACCCAAACAGTTGGTACAAGGGTTCAATTTTGATTCAGGTTTGGAAGAAAAAGGTAATACAAAAATAAATAAATAAACAAAAGAAAAGGAAAGGAATAGGAATATTTGAAAGAGGAGAAAGAAAAAAAAAAAAGAATATTAGAGAGATAAAAAGGGCGGTGGGTCACAAATGGAACGCGCTCTGTCCTAATTACTTACACGAGGGAAATCCAATATGGTCAATTTTCTGATTTTTGCCCAAACCATACCAGACCAGGAAAATAAACAAGAAATAATAAAATAATAATAATAAAAAAGAAATCATTGCTTTAGTAAAATTCAAACAAAGAAAGAGAAAAATAAAAAAGAAAAGAAAAAACACGTACTTCTCGCTCCACAAAAAGACAAAAAAAAAAAAAAAAAAAAAAAAAAAAAAAAAAAAAAAAAGTCCAACTTTTCCTCAAATACTCTAAACTTAAAGCCGTGTTTTTTTTTTTCTCCTTTATTAAGTGAAAGAAACAAGCTTGAAACATATTTTAATTGGCGATGATTGATCCAACAAATTCCGCAGAAAAATTTCCAGACGACCCAACATCAGTAATATGTATAGCGGCACTAAGTTATAAGTGAAAAATAAATAAATATATATACATATATAAAAAGGAAAATTGTGAAATATAATAGAAATAAGAAAAAAATTAAAAAAAGAAAACCTGGAGCTCAGTGGTAACAGGGTACTCATCCATGTCGACGTAGTTCTTGTTCATAGAGTCCATGACAAGCTTATCGCACTCCGGCTCCATCCACGTCGTCACGAACGACGCCAAGTTCAGCCTCGGCTTTCCGTCCAGCATTAGCTCGTCGTTTATCATCTGGTACGCCACATCCTTCGGCGTTGAGTTCTCCGGTATCGTGTACCTATACCACACGACATAAAAAAAATTATATATATATATATAATAACGCTTAAAAATCAGTAACAATATTGATGCAAAATCAAAACTAATAATGCAAAGTATTTTTGAAAAATAAAAATGTATTTGTTGAAACTCAATACATCGAAAACAACTAGACAACCACTTAGAACCGGTTTAAAAAGTATACTCAAACCATAATTTTTAATTCTTATGTTAAAAAATTTAAATTTTTTACGAGAAGAAAATAATATAACAGAATAAATTATTTGAGTTTAAGTATATGAAATAAATAGATTCTTATGGTTTTGTTACGTACTTTGCAGCCGAGTCTCGGACATAGCGAGAGGCGAAGGTGGAGTGGATTGAGATGTCGGATTCAGAAAAGGTTTTGGAGAGCCCCATTGGTGATAATTTGGAGTTAAAAAACGAAAGAACAGAGAAAAAAGTTTTGGAAAGAATGAAATATTGTAAGTTGTAAAGAGTAGAAGATTTAATGTAATTGCTTGGAGATGGGGTTATGAACTCTTGGGGATGGAGGTATATATACTCACAAAAGGGGTGTGTTAGCAACTAGGAAGTTACTCTCCTTGGGGTTCTTTTCTCATTTTCTTCTAGAATAATAAATAAGGGCCGACCCGGAATGAAAGTTGACCCGGTATAGAAAGAAGAAAGTAAATGAAAATGAAAAATAGAACCAGGACATTTACCAAAAAAGAAAAATAGAAAAGGGGTACTTATTCGGTTGTATGCACAAATTGACCACGTAAAATCATGTGTACATAGAGGAAAGCAAATTGCGAAAACATGTTTTGTATTTCGGTGGCAGCATAGGCTCATAGCACAGGAATAGGAAAGGTCTTATGTAAGAGTATATATTCAAAAGTGGTCAATGTGGACCGTTGAATTTTAGATGACAAGACCGTGTTCCATATACATATATAATATATATTTATGGGACTTTTTTGGTAAGCTTTTTTAAAGTAGTTAGTCTCGATTTTTAACTGTGATATATGATTAAAATTATATTAAATTATAAAAATATGTAAAATAGATAATTTTTTATATAAATTTAATAGTTAAAAAATAAAAAATTATTAATAATTTTTTTTAATTCATCAAAGAAACTCCTTATATTTATATGTTACGGAGATTGTTTATGAGACATTTGGTTCATGGACTATAATCATAAAATTAGAATCATTTTTAATTTCTGTGTATTTTTTTGAGAAAAAACACTGTAACAAACCATGAACTATGATTCAAATTGAGATATGAATCTCCCAACTAAATAACCCCTTTTAGATTTGTAGTCAGTATTTCACAACCCACCGAATTAAAACAAAAAGAACACCACCGTCACCAAAACAAAGTCCCAGAGATAGGAGGTTTCGTGGGAAAAACGAGGGGAAAGGCCGGTATAATATATATGTGAATAACGTTCATGGTTTAAGTCAATTAAAAAAAAAAAAAAAACATCATGGTTTAAGTCATCAATTAGGTAAGGCATCAGAGAATTTGTTCGCTCGCAGTGAAAAATCTATATTTCTATATTCCTCTCAATCCAAATCCATATTCCTACTTTTGTTTTTGAACAAAAATATTTCTATATTCCTCTCAATCCAAATCCATATTCCTACTTTTGTTTTTTGTAATTCCTAAAGGTATTTGAGGATTATCACAAGTAACTTCCTTTTTTTTTTTTTTACTGAAGTCTGCGAGTTGACTACTGGTGAACTAAGCATCTAGAAATTAATTTCTAGTGCTCCTCAAGATATAAAACTTTATTTAAATTAAAACCTAACCCAAATTCCAAACATTAATAAACCTCAGTGGAAATTAAAATCTTTAGCTTCTCAATTAAATTGCAGTGCATGCAGAGAGGACTTTTCTTGACAGCGGTCTACTATTGTGATCTTTTTTTTTTTTTTGACTCTTATGTGAATTTTTAGAATATTTTAAAAGGACCTTATCTGATACATTAACATATCGGTAAATTATATTTTTTGTCTGTTAAATCTACATAAAATTACATAAAAATTAAAAAATGTGCAGATGTAATAGTTAAAAAAACCTGACATACCGATACGCCAGACCTACTTCTTTATTTCAAAAAGTAACCTTGGAATTGTTAAGCCCAAATAAAGTTTAAACATGTTGTCGGCCTTACATTAGGGTTTTTTTTTCTTTTGTATTAATTAAAAGAGATAGTGAAGAATGTATTATTTAGTACATGTTTGGTTCATAGGTTTGAATCACAAAATTTAAACAAAAATTTAAACTTTAATAATATTATCATAAATATGTTTGAAATATGATTCAAACCCGTGAAACAAACATCTCAAGAAGATTAGCATCAAGATTTTCTCCTATTAATGCTATTATCCTTTACTTAGCTCCTTGATTTATTAAAATGAATAATTTTTTTTTTTAAAAAAGGCGAACTAGTTTAAAAGGCAACATTAGAAAGAAAAAAAAAAAAAAGAAGGGGCCAAAAGGGGGGCAAAAGGCTCAGAAATTCCACATAAAATCTAAAAACAAAAACCGATTGGAACTTTCAAATTAATATATATATATATATACTAGTTTTGCTTTTAATGGAATACATACACATAACTTTCTATTTCATATAATTATATATGTTTAACATTTTTTATTTTACATCAAAATAATCAAGATTCTATTTATTATATTTGCAAGACATAAATTTTACTTCAATTTAAAGACATGAATAAACTTATTAGTATGAGCTCCCTTTACTTGTATAACTAGTTTTGTAATGTATTCCGCACGTATTACCGTATTAAAGACATTTAAAGAGTTTATTGTTTACTCAAAAATGAGAAATTCATTTATACAATCATTTAAAGATTTTTAAATTTTTTTTTTTAAAAATGTGCAAAAATTACAATTGACAAAAAAAATTAAGTGGGGAATTTGAAGAAAATTATTTCAACCAATCAAAAAAAAAAAAATAGGAACACACATGAAAAAATTTCTCTCATAAAGATAAAGTGAGAAACAATATTTTTTTTAAAAACACACAAAAAATTAAAAAAAATGAAAAATAAAACAAGAAGTAAGTGAAGGGATTACCAGGAACTTTTAACTTTTTTATATATTGTTAGATTAGGACTATAAGCTTACTCTTATGACTTGACTGCTAAAATTCTTTTCTGTCTTAGGTTATCACTAGCGTTGAAGAATTATGTAATATAGACTGAAAAAATAATTATCGAGGGGATACATTTTTTAACTAACTGTTAAATTTCATCAAAATTTGAAAAAATATATAAATTTAACAAGATTTAAAGAAAATCTGATAATTAAAAGTTACGTCATACTCACAGGGTATTTCTTTTACACTACTAAAAAAAAACCCCTTTCTCTAACAAATAATTAACATACTTTATGTATTTGATTAACATACCTTATGTATTTGGAGAATTTTATGACAGGGTATGAAAAATCCTAACAATATGACACAGTTTTGGATACCACTTTAATGGCACGTGAAAATAACACTTTCTACCATCAGTTTCTGCGATTTTAATATTTCAGGGACCAGTTATTTGCAGCCGCAAAAAGCAGACCATCATGCAAGGCATGACATTCGGCAATGAAAAGAGAGCACAACCCCTCATGGCGATTAGAGAAGGCACTAATCACAACCCCTCATGGTGACTTTTTTTTTTTTTAATTTTAAAAAGGGAGGTAAAACAAAAAAAAAAAGAGACTTTCTCTTGCTTAAAAAAAAAAAAAAAGACTTTCTTTGATAGGGTCTTCTTACCTCAATTTTTGACCATCAAACTTAATTAAAATCACATTAAATTAAAAAAATATATAAAATAAATAATTTTTAATACAAATTTAACGATTAAAAGTAAATATTTAGCGATAATCCTTTTTTTTTTTACCAAAAAAAAACTCCCTAAAAAGAGACCGTATGGCCTCCAAGAAGCAACAACTGAACGTGTGCACCGCCAAATGGCAACATACATCAAATGAGCACTTTACTATTTTCGCAATTACTTTCTGTTCCTCTTTGGGCATGAAAATAATAGGCTTTTGTTTTCAGAAAATTACACACACTGCCATCTAAATTCAAGACTTTTACTTTATGATATTGAATATAAATAGTTTAGGTTTTTTATACTGAATTAAGTAACATAGATCTTAAGTTTATTGTATAATATAAATGTAAAGATGGCATAAGTTTATTAGATAATTAATTACATCTTCTCTAAAATTGTCAAACTCATTAATCATGGCTGCAGAATGGCACCACAAGTTAAAAGTCAGAAATCGGTTTAAATAGGACTTGTTCACGGGTAATTAATGCAGAAATCAATGGCAATTGGCACACCACGTTGAAGTTGATATTTACGTGCATGGCTGGTAAATGAAAGATATTTTTGAAAATAATAAAATGACTGTTTTTCTAGTATGACTTATGAATAGTTATTTACTTTTTAGATATTTACATAAAAAAAAAACTATATATTCTATATATTTTATCAATTTAATGTAATTTTGACTAAATTTTACGTTCAAAAATTGACACTACCTGTAAGGTCTATTGGAGGTCCTCATAAAATTGAGAAAACAAAAACTGTCAACGAAATGCGCCGTTGAAATTGAACACTATACTAGAAATTACGATTGAATATTGAAAACTTCCAACAATCTAGGCGTTAGATTAATCCTAATATTTTTCCTATCTATCCAATGCACGCAAGTCAGTCAGCAAGGCAAAACCGCCAAACTAAAAGGTGTTTCTTGTCATTACAATGGGTGTTATAATGCTGCACTACGACTAATTTATGGTCAAATCAACGTGGTGTGAATTTCGCAGGTCCATTAAACTTGAAGGTCATTTTTGAATTTTTGGATTGGAAAAAATGAAGGCAAAAAAAGTCAAACAGTGATGCAAGCTATTAATTAACCTCTTAGAGTTTGTTTGTTTCATGCGTTTATAGTATTTTCTTTTTATAAAAATTTAAATTTCAAATGTTAAAATTAAGAATTTCTGATTCAAATGCATGAACTAAAGGGACCGTAATATAAAACTGAGTACATTAAGATTTGATGTTTAATAATACTATTTAATTATTCCTCATGGGCTAAGTCAAATTTATGGTTCTAGTAAAACCGACTTTAATTAATGAAATAACGAATATTACTTTAACACTAGGGGTAGTTGAATAAACCCTTAATTACTTAGGGCTCATTTGGTTCATGTGTTTAAACAATTGATTCTTAATTTTGACATTTGAAATTTAAATTTTTTATGAAAAAAATACTATAGTATAATCAAAACTATTTGAATATACCCTTAATTATTTAGGACTCATTTAGTTTATGTATTTAAATCAGTGATTCTTAATTTTAATATTTAAAATTTTAATTTTTTATAAAAAAAAATACTGTAATAAAATCAAAACTATGAATTTAAATACAGCAAATAAATGAGCTCTTATAATTATAAATTTAAAGAATTTATC